AGAGCCTCTTGCCATCTTTCTGGTCTTCAGCCCGCCTGTCCCTTTCACTGCTATTCACAATCACATGAGGGCTCTGGGGAAGCTGGAACCTAAAGGACACATGTCACAGCAGCCTTCTCGGAGGTCCAGGGGTTCAGGGTCGGGGTGGCCTTGGCAGACTATTCTTTGCTCTACTGACATTCTTCTGGTGACATGGTGTCTGCTGCTTCCTTCTCCTTTTCCTGGCCCATGGGTCACCAAAACATCTCTTTCACTAATGAGATACCTCAGAATTTTAGAATGTCCTTCAAATCCTAGGCCGAAGGGAATTCTGAGAAGGCTGAAAGTTGTACACTTAATTAATAGGAATTTATAATACCAGGGAATAGACAATTTGGTGTTTTCTTTAATGGGGCGGGGGATTAGGAGTCAGCAAATGAATAGAAAGCAACAAACACTTACCAACTCCTGTATTAAGGAGGTTTCAGCGTCTAGATGGAAATGCTGGCTATTTGGAGAGGAGGCACCTTACCAACTGATACCAATCCAGAGCTAGCGGTTGTTATGGATTATTAATATATCCAACTCCGACTCCTGCCCAGCCACTATCACTAATCTATCACTGTGACCAACAGAGCACTGATATGTCTCAAAAAGTCTTCCCAACAGCTCTTTCCATGGCTACCAAATCTTCTCACCTATCCTGGGGATGATGGAACAGCCTCTTCCATACCTGAGCCTCTATGCCTCTAGCATCTCCTCTTCTCCTCTACCCAGCTGCCATGGGTATCTTCCAGATCTTACCAGAGATACTGCTATGGTTTAGATAAGGTTTGTCTTCTTGAATTGACATCTGTGTCTTGGCTATGCTAGTGTGTCAGTGATGGGGACTTTAAGAGGTGGGGCCTATTTGGAGGTCCTTAGGTCACCAAGGGTCTTGCCCTCTATGGAAACCTTGTGTTGGTTCTCATGAAAACATGTTGCTACCAAAGGTAATGTGAGCTCCATCTTATTGTGAGCTCCCACCTCTAGCTATGGTGATGCCACACCCTTTAGGAGGCCATCAATAAAGCTGGGTTGACTTAGAACTGCAAATTCAACAATCCCTTCTCGATATAGTAATGGAAATTAACTGACACAGCTTAAGAGCTTCCCTAGACCCTCCCTTTGCTTAGTGAAACCTAAACTAGGGTGTGGCTTACACACACACAGACACACACACAGAATGCACCTTCTCCATCACACTCTAAGCACACACACACACACACACACACACACACACACACACTCTGCACCTTCTCCATCACACTCTAAACTCTACCAATGCCACACAGTAGACAGATATTCTGAAAGGATGCTCAGTTTTGTTGTCTTTGCCTAGGTGGAGCTTCTGTTTGGGGAGCACTCTTCCCTTCTGACATCTAGGAACTATTTCTATAAGCTTTCAACAGCCAGATGAAACAAATCACACACACACACACACACGAGCCTATTCTTGAGTTCTGCACACGGAGCCAGTCACCCTGGGCTTCCAGAGCTCTGTATAACCCTTGGTTTCTGCTCTCATCAGCCTGTTTTGTTGTGTGTTTACATGGCCACGAGCTCCTTGAGGGCAGAGGCCATGTCTGATTCAAGTCTGCATCCCGCCTGCCAAACCCCCATGCTCAATAAATGTTTGATGAACGGCTGAAAGAAAGAATGTTCATCATCAGAAAATTGCTCATCAGAGCCCTGTACATCAGCGATGCCAGGAGATGTTTTCATCAAATGTGGTTTCAGAATGTCAGCGTCTTGGTTCAGCCAGAAGCATTGGAAATTCAGAAGGGCTTCTGGAGGTTAGAGGGGGGAACAAACTATTTGTTAAACAGAAAAACAAGGTATGAGATGGAACAGAGATAGGCAAATTGTGTGTGTGTGTGTGTGTGTGTGTGTGTGTGTGTAAAACCTAAGAGAATACCACTGATTTATTTTTAAATTAATTCAGGGTGTCTGTGAAGTTTAAATGTGGTCTTCAGGAGAGTAAATAATGCGTACTTTGAAACCAGAAAACAGATTCCAAATGCATCCTGAGAAATCTCCTTCCTGCTCAGCTTCTGCAGCAGAACATTCTAGTTGGTTGGGTCACTGCATAATTTGCAAAGATTAAAATATGCTACAAGAAAATTAGCCTGAGCCCAAGATGATGTCTGTGTGTATGCATGTCATAAGACAAGGCCTCTCAATGACCCTAGTGCTCATTGATTGAGCTAGGCTGGCTAGTCTCCCAGCTCTGGGATCACACTCATTTGCTTGTTGGCTTTTATGTGGGTACTGAGTATCGAACTTAGGTCTTTGTGCTTTCAAGGCAAGTGTTTTACTGACTGAGCTATCTCCCAAGCTTAAGCACGAGACTTTAATCATTTAAGAGGTTCCGGGCTTGCTTTGGCCTTGTGAGCAGTAACCCTCTGTCAGTGAGTAGTGGATGGATGGATTCCAGGTCTCCTGCTAAATATCGATCATTGAACATGAAACAAAAATTGCACATCTAGTCACTATTGAATAGTGAATGAGAAGGGGCTGTGCTGGGTTTGCAAACTAGGAATTTAGAGATATTACTTCCAAACAGTTCCATTTGGTTGAGGGATCAGAGATATGGTTGCCAGAGCACCTGGGGAGTTTTAATTAGACATGTGCTAAAGTGGCAAAAACTGCCTGCCCCTCAGAGTCATAAGCAGCAGCACTCTCTGCTTGGCTAGTCAATGAGTCCATTCAGGTAGGAGTCCTGAGGGGCTACCTGTTCAAGACTACATTCTGAAATGGAGGAAGGAGAGAGCTCATTGGGAGATAATTTTGTCTTGAGGTTAAGGCTCACAGACAGATTGACAGAGCTGTCAACCTGCTGTTTCCAGAGTTGTTTTTTCAAAGCCTGAAAAGGGATTTGGGAGATTAGGTGAAACAAGAATAGTCACCTTTGGGTCACCTCAGGGCCTAGTATACCCTTCTGCTGGCCTGTGACTCCTATAGACTGCTCTCCAAAGCAACTGTCTCTTCACCTTCAGGGAGGCAAGGTACATGCTCACCTACACTGAGGCTCTGCCACACCTGTAAACACAATTAGCCCAAGGATTAAAGTCTGAGACCCTTGGGTCAGTCTCAGATGCTGCCTGGGCAATGGCCTTGAGGCTGGCCAAGATTCTGAGGGCCCCCAAGGTCTTGGTGCAGAGAGAGTTGAGAGTATGTGACTTTCAAACTGAATTTCAGTCTCCTGCTAACTCTTCATCTTGTCTGTTTCCCTTCTTGAAACTTCTAACCCAGCTCCCCAGTCTCCACCAGAGGGGGCTTTTAAAAGCCCAGACTGAAATGTGCCCTGGGGCTGTACAGCTTCCCATTTCCTTGTAGCCTCTGTGATGTGGCCCAGTGTTCCTTCCAGACTTTGCTCTGGCAACTCCCCCTGTGTCATCCAGGTTCCCGGCTGCATTCATGGGGTATTGTAGGTTTGGATGGCTCATGCTGTTTCCTCTATCAGACGGAACACTTGCAATGTTCCAGTACCTTAGCTTCTGAAAAGCCACCAGGCCTGTCCCACTCATTTCCTGACTTCCTGAGTCATTCTAAGGCAAACTTAGGGGTCCAGCAGGCCTTGCAGAATGTAGCAGGAGTGTCTTCCATGGACTGTGGTATGACTGTCAAAGGCCTGAAGTCTCAAGCATGAATCTGTTTTCATCCTACCAAAGTCAGCCCCACCCACTCCCCAGGGAATACCTTCCCCCCTCTTTGTCCCCAACCTGTAAGCTTGTTTTGTTCCTGGCCTGGGACAAGGAAACTATAGCTATATTTTCCACATACACCCAGACCCCAGAACCTTCCTCAACCACACCATGCTGAGCCTCTTCTGCCTGTGAACTTGAGGGAAGCAAGCTCCATTCTGTGTCCCTCTGGGACACATGGCTAGCAGGGGACAGGGACAAGTATCTTGCCAGGTACAGTGCTGATCAGCAACAGAAACAAATGTCACACCCCAGCCTCAACCCTAGCCTTCCAGGAATCTACTTCTAATGCCGTGTCATGACCAGTAGTATAAAAAGGGAAATTCAGGGTGTTTGATGAGCAGCAATGGGCATGGTGCATATGCTAGCTGCTGTTTGTACTGGACGTGAGGTATGGAATAGTTGCAAGAAGCCATGATGTGAACTAACAAAACCTCTGTCCCTATTTCTTTTCATGAATCCTTCACACTTCCTGCTCCCAGAGCTGCCAAAGCACCCTCTACCTGCCTGTGAGGAACTCGCTTGGTTCCCTGTGAACCACCTTCCTGGCTCCAGTTCTCATTCCTCGTCTCTAATTAGCCCCTAAACCTATGGCCTTGATTTGAGCTTGCTGTTTAGTACTGACCTCCACTACTCACTTAAGACAAGGAAGGTGCTCTTGAAAACACCCAGTTCCTATACCCAGAGGACAGGCAAAGACATCTGGTACCCACGGAGTATGATAAATCTCACATTACCAGCATCCTCCACCTTCATGCACCAGACAGTAATTCAAAGTCAGCCCCACCCATACCAACATCCTTCTTCCTTATGGCAGAGGCAGCAGGCTGGAAGGTTTGAATGATAGGCTTCAGCCACTTAGTCTCCTGAATGTTGATAGTCCCTCCTGCCCTCCCCCGACTCTGTTCAGGTCCCCAGGTACCCTAGAGTTCTAGGACCATACGAGCTCCCTGGACACCCTGTAACAATCAGCTGCCTTGCCATCTAGAAGGCCAGCACACCCATCCACAGGTAGAAACTGACCCTAACAGCAGACTTCCTGTGGTGAGAAGCTCTTGGGGCAGAGTCCATTGAAAACTTGGTGTTTGAATTGTGGGATGCTATTCCATAATGAGATACACAGTGGCCAAGGAAATGTAAAAAGTTAACTGTGGTCCACCAAATTGATGGTGACCAGGGAAAGGACGACCCATGGTCACTGATATGGGGATTGCCCTTTACAAATGGTCCAGACACTGCCCTGAAGAGGAGCTTCATTTCTACAGTGACTTCTACCTGGGAGAACTGCCAGTGCAGCTTCATCCTCTTGGCCTTGGCGTAACTGCACTCGATGAGTCGTGGCCGGCTGTTGACGTCCACCAGACACCGGTTGTCATCATCATCAACAGTGGGGCTCAGGACACCCACGTGGATCTGCTGGCTGCTTGTGTAGTACACATTCTAGGGGGGTGAAGAGAAGTAGCAAAAGGTCAAATGTCGATGGCCAGAGAAATGGAGGTTAAGTGGCCATTGTCACCAGTTAGCTGGCAAAGAGTCCTTGGTGAGGACAAATTCTGATTTTTATATCCAGTAACTTGCAGACTTTCAACTGGGACAGTGGACAGCAAGAAACCCTTTCAACTTTTGATCCAGGAGAGCATTTGGTCCACATGTAGGATGGAGACAAAACTTTCAAGAAATAAAACTTGCCCTCACCACACCACACACTCCATTTTCTATTCTATTCTTGCATTGAAAAACATTGGCCATAACCTTTTAAATTGATTTTACCACCCACAGCTTTGAAAGTACCTCTTGAATCCATTATGTGCAGACTCGCTGACTTCCTTCATAAATATTTTGTGCCAGATACTGCATTTGGCCAGGAGACACAAAGCACAAAGGCTCAGGCCCTGCCTTTGGGGGGAGCATCCAGTATTGGGGGGCTGGGAAGTAAAAGACAGAGAATTTCTATCTCTACTAAGACTGTACACAGCAGGGACTATCGAGTGTTGTGAAAGGGCAGATGGTAAGTACTTTTGGCCTTGAGGGAATGCTGGGGAAGTCTCAGGTCTACCTTCTGGTGCAATGAGGACTCATCGCTGTGGCTTACTACAGTGAAGGGATGCTGAGCAATCTGACAAAGAAGAAGGGTGAGGGAATGAAGCTGCAGAGACAGGCCTCAGTAACTCAGAGATCTGTCTTAGAAAGTCATACAATACATGCCCTGCTTCCGGCAATGAGTGTATCACACCATATGAAGTACCATCTACCGGGGAAGCTCACTGGAGTCTCAGCGCTAAGGTTTCTCCTAAGGCAGCCTTGGTCTGAGGTTTACAAAAATGTCTCTTTTTTTCCCCTCCCACTCTGGTCTTCTACCAAGTCATTAGCAAACTGACTATTAGCAAAATCCAACTAGAGGCCAGAGAACATGGGAGCTCATTGAAGTATACGACAGAGTAGCCTCCCTGGGTGGGAAGAAGCAGGTGGAGGCAGAGGGACAAAAGAATTATGATTCAATCTAGTCCTCTAACGTCATCTTCCAGCTCATCAGGTTGGAAAATCCAGGGATGAAGACATCAAAATCACCAGCCTTATTGATTGCCCTGATTTCAGGGTACAGGATGATAGTGACCAAAGTTCTAAGCAGGGATAAAAGGTGCCTTGCCCAGCTCAACATGAGGATGTAACTAGAACATAAGAGACAAGGACGCTTTGTAAAGCTAGCCATGGTAGAAAAATGAGTTTCTAGTGTGAGGCCAAGGACACTCACTCTGTGGCCTGGATTTCTAGGCTGCGCCAAGGAAAGCTGAGGACTGGTTGAGAATTCTAGTTTTTTGGAGTTGAGGAAGAACTTGACACAGGTAGGATTTAGAGGCTCCAAGAGCTGTGCAGTTAAGCATCACATTTATCCATCCATCCAAATAGGAAGTCCAGCTTCAAGTTGAGTTCTGGGTATACGGAGGTGAGAAAGCTGTAGTGCAGGTATGTCCAAAGCACATCTAAATCTGGGAGGCTGGGTGGGATGGTCATTCTTCCCTGTCAACTGGATGGGATTTAGAATTACCTAGGGTTGCACTTCTGGGTGTGTCTGTGATGGAGTGCCCAGGGAGACGTAACTGGGGAGGAAGACTCACCCTGGAATCCCAGGCTGGGAAAAACCCAGCAAGCTGAGCGGCAGCTTCCCTCTCTCTGCTTCCTGACTGTGGGCAGTGTGACCAGTTACTTCAGGTTTCCTGGGTCTTGTTGTCTATGCCCTGACAGGCTGTAGCCTCACACAATGAGCCAGAGTTAACTTTCTTTCCTAAAGTTTCTTGCCAGGCTCTTTGTCACAGTAACAAAGAATCCAGTCTCACACCAGGAAGCAATGCCACTAAGTCCACTGACATGGCACATGAGTTACCCTCGTCCCTCTCTGACTTGCTCCAACTCTTCCACCTTAGAGCCAGAAACAAAAACTCATCAGCTCCCAAGGCCCTTCCTGAATGTGTAAGAGTGCACAGCCTCAGCCTGCCACCTGTGCTTTCTCCAGAGAGTAAGGCAGCTGTTTATGCCCTTAAGACTAAAGCCAAATGACCTCAGGACAGGGGAGCTCTCGGTGGTCACCGTGGAAACCAGGACCTAGGCTCAGAAGCATGAATTGCAAAAGAAGGATGGCTAGGAACCAGTCACTTCTCTCCCTTCTTGCCTCCTGTCATCAGGCCCTGCCTCTCATCTCCAGGGCGGGGCCCACAGACACAAATTGGCCACCCAGGCAATAGCTGAAATCAGTTTTATCCACTTAGCTGCTCTAAAGTGCCTGGGGAGATGCTTTGAGAGGTATGTGTGCACTTACTGGCTGCTACAGCTGTCACCAGAGCTGATTATTGCTCCAGAGTCTCAGAAGATCATAATAGGGACAGACAGTTGTTTGTCATATAAAAAGCCAACAATCAGTGGAACCAGGAAGCAGGGAGATCATGGAGACAGATTTGTCAAGGAAGACTCCCTCTGGTCTTCCTTTGGACATCTCAGAAATCCTGCCAGTAGCACACTGAATCAATAAATGGCCTGAACACATAAAATAGGGAATGGTTTGTGCATGATACCCCTTGTTCAATACCCAAAGGCATGAAAATACCTGTTCATATAAAGTAGGGAATGGTTTGTGCAAGATACCCCTTGTTCAATACCCATGGCCGTGCTTTCAGAGCAATGAGGGACTTAGAAAGTTGAAACAAGAAGTGGTTTAAAGATATGGTCTCTAATGGGAGCTAAGGGGGTAGTTCTGCTTACCAGGGGTCATTTGGGATGTCTGAACATAAACTTTTTAGTTATGACTTAGAGAAGGAGAGGTTCCTGGCACCCAGGGGTAGAGTACACAGCATCCCTTAGTAAAGTTAAACTGCCTGGCTCAAAATCTCTGGAGTATCCTTGTCAGGTGGCCCTGGTTTCGACTGCTAGTAGTCAAGGTGAAATACCTGTGGCTGTACTATACCAGAGCAGAAGGGGTTCATACCATCTACCTCACTTAACCCTAATTGGGCTATGGGTCAGGCGCAGGGTTTGAGTACCCCATATCCACAGTTGGCAACAAAATGCCTCTGGCTTAAGAGCTTTAAAAGGACTTTTTACAATATCAGTCTATACATTCATAAAGAATTATCTTGGAGATGGGACCCAAGGCTAAACACAAGGTTTATGATTCATACATACTTTACATAGTCTAAAGGCAACTCTATACATAACTGCCCCTCATCGAAAGCTAGGCTTGGGATTTTTTGTGTGAGTATGCAAAAAGTTTCAGATCAGTCTCTGAGAGACTGAACCACCAACCACAGAGCTTACACGGGCTGGACCTCGGCCTCCCCGTACATATGTAACAGATGTGCAGCTTAGTCGTCATGGAGGTCCTGAACAACTGGAGTGGGGGGCCATCCCAAAAGCTGTTGTCTGTCTGTGGAATCTGTTCTTCTAGCCAGGCTGCCTCGTCTGGTCTCAGTAGGATAGGATGAGCCTCGTAGAGACTTGAAGTGCCAGGGTCAGGGGATACCGAGAGATGTCATCCGCTCAGAGGAGAAGGGGAATGGAGGATGGGGAAAGGATTGTGAGAGGGGGTGACCAGGAAGGAGGCAGTGAGCAGGATATAAAGTGAATAAATAAATAAATAAAATTAAATAAATGTTTAAAAGTTTAAATCATGGGGCATTTCAGATTTTGAATTTCTACCTGTATTACTATTATCACCCATTTAGCGGATGAAGGACTAAGGCAAATTAAGTTATTTGAGAGGAACTAAATGATATGTCCAAAGTCCCACACCAGTGACTAGCCCTTAAGATTTAAACTGTAGTTTGACTTTCGTGCCAGGCCCAGGACCATTCACATCCTGCATCTAGTTTCCTGCATTCCCTCGACCTCCAGTGAGTGAGCTGGAAGGTGCCAGGGAGTGCCAGGAGACTGGCTTCCACATGGTCCTATGGAGCCACTGTGGGGCCTGGACTGTGTACTAGAGCATAGGAGAGGCCCCTCACTAAAAGACCAACAGCACACAATGGCCAGGAATGCTGAGACAGCAGCATCCTGCCAGTAACTGTCAGAGGCAGAGGCGGGCTGTTATCCTGTCTGCATGTTTCACAAACTCCCAGGGGCATAGAAACGATACCCTGACCACTCAGCTTCTCTCCAGCTGTAATGATTGATTGTATTCCTTCTCTGCTCAGCCCTGCAGAGCTCAGCAGGGCTGCACACCTGACTGGCATTTTATTCTGATGCTTGATGGGGAAAGAAAAATCACCTGCAACTCTAAGAACAAACATCCGGGTCTCAGGTCTCACATGAATGATGCTGTCACCTTCTCCAGACCAGAGCCAGGAATAATGATGAGCAGCTGAGCTGAAGACAGCCCAGGAGTCCACAGAGTCCTGCCCACATATTACGATCCTCAGGGCCACAGGACCAAGGTTGGGCAAATAACCCCCAAGGTGGGAGGATGGTCCTTCACCTCTGACATGGCCGTACCCAGCATGTGAATCCTGATAGACATGGCCATACCCAGCATGTGAATCCTGATACCAGGTGTCTTAGTTATGGTTTTACTGCTGTGAACAGACACCATGATCAAGGCAACTCATATAAGGCCAACATCTAACTGGGGCTAGCTTACAGGTTCAGAGGTTCAGTTCATTATCATCAAGGTAAAATCATGGCAGCAACATCCAGGTAGGCATAGGAAAGGAGGAGCTGAGAGTTCTATATCACATTCCAAAGGCAAACAGGATTGTGCTGGCTTCCAGGCAGCTAGGACAAGGGTCTTAATGCCCATGCCCAAAGTGACACAACTACTCCAACAAGGCCACACCTCCTAATGGTGCCATGTCCTGGGCCAAGCATATACAAACCATCACACCAGAGTTCCCATCCTGTAGGTGTGTGGATGGGTCACAGCATCCATCCTTCAAAGCTTTCAAAGGTCACTGACT